TCTTTTTCTTGATAATATGACTATCCAAAATCCAGTGTGTCAGATTCACAGTATTTCTCCTCACAAAGTTCCCCAGCTCACTGTCTTTGTAGAAAAAAATCCAGTTCTCAGTGCAAACCACACATTTTTCTCCTGAAAAACGTTCACAAAGTGAGCAAATGGGTTGGCAAGTGACTCCACTAAGTTTGCAACCCACAATGCAAAACAGAGGGAAGTAGAAGTGCAGGATGAGTCCTGACCACTGGCCACAGTCCCCACTGGGTGTCCTGGCGTGACCTGGTGCCGCCAGGGAAGAGCGATCCCATGGGGAGGACTCTGTGTCCCCAGAGAATGATCTATTTTGAAACTCTAAGCAATACCTGTAGTTGCCCATACTGCTGCACTATAGTGATCTTTTTATAGTCAAACGAGCATGTCGTTCTGAGGAAAGAGTAATCATTAAAGAGGAGCCTCTTGAGAATGGCCAAAGTCCATTGTCAAGGGAAGATAATAACCACTAAGTGTAACAGGACTTCTGGATGACACACTATTGATTTTACAGAGCATTTTTTGGTTCAGAAATTTACTTTTTCTCCATAAACTAGTTACTATTTCTTTTTCAGCCGTCCAGTTAAATGTGATGTTAATCCTCCAGTGCCTATTTCTATGAATTTTTTACAGCTTGATATTAAAAAATATTGAAAAGGAACAAGAAAATAATTCAGTCATGTATCAGGCCACAGTAAACCCCTTGTCTATTATATAGCAAAATAAACCATTCACAGACTTGATTCTAGTATCTGCATTATTAGGAGGAAGGAAAAGTATTCTTCAGTACTGCAGAAGTATTTACTCGACAGCTGCACTTTAAATGCTTTTTACAGAATCACAGAATATGTTGAGCTGGAAGGGACCCACAAGGATCATTGGGTTCAACCATTAGCCCTGCACAGGACCAACCCCAAGAGTCACACCCTGTGCCTGAAAGTATTGACCAAATGCTTCTTGAACTCTGTCAGGCTTGGTGCTGTGACCACTGCCCTGGGGAGCCTGTTCAGTGCCCAGCCACCCTCCAAGTGAAGAACCCTTTCCAAATATCCACCCTAAACCTCCCCTGACACAACTTCAGGCCATTCCCTTGGGTTCTGTCACTGCTCACCACAGAGATCAGTACCTGCCCCTCCTCTGCCCCTCATAAGGAACTTGTAGACTGCAATGAGGTCTCCCCTCAGTCTCCTCCAGGCTGAACACACCAAGTACCCTCAGCTGCTCCTCACATGGCTTCCCCTCAAGGCTCTTCACCATCCTCATTGCCCTCCTTTGGACGCTCCCTAATAGCTTAATATCTTCCTTATATTGCAGACACCAAAACTGTCACGTTATTCAAGGTGAGGCCGCCCCAGGTCAGAGTAGAGCAGGACAATCCCCTCCCTCAACTGCCTGGCGATGCTTTGCCTGATGCCCCCCAGGACATGGTTGGCCCTCCTGGCTGCCAGGGCACTGATGACTCATCAGTCAGGATCCCCAAGTCCCTTTCCTGGTACTGCTCTCCAGCATCTCATTCCCCAGTCTGTCTGTTGCCCCATCCCAGGTGCAGAATCCAGCACTTTTCCTTGTTGAACTTCACACAGTTGCTGATTGCCCAGCACTTTCATTTGTCCAGGTCTCTCTGAGGGCCTCTCTGCCTGCCAGGGAGTCAACAGCTCCTCCCAGTTCTGTGTCATGTGCAAACTTGCTCAGTGTCCCTTCCAGTTCCTTATGGTCTAAGTCATTTATGAGGATGTTGAGGAGCTCAGGGCCTGAGATGGAGCCCTGCAGAACCCCACTAGTGACAGGTCACCAGTCTGGTGTTTCCCCATTCACTGTTACCTTCTGTGCTCAACCCGTGAGCCAACTGCTCCACCACCACCTGATGTGTTTATCCAGCTGTGAGGTGGACATTTTGTCCAGAAGGATCCTGTGAGAGAAAATATCAAAAGTTTTGCTGAAATCCAGGAAGATTCCATCACCTGGCTTCCCTTGATCCACTAGGTGAGTTACCTTGTCATAAAAGAAAATCAGGCTTGAGAAGCAGGAACTTTCCTCTCCTGAAGTCATGCTGGCTGTGACCAATGACTGTGTTGTCGTTCAGGTTTTTTTCAGTACTTCCCAGAATAATCTTCTCCATAACTTTACCAGGCACTGAAGTGAGACTGACAGGCCTGCAATTTCCAGGGTCCTTCTTCTTGCCCTTCTTGAAAATGAGGGGTTCTTTGAGGATTCTTGGATGAATCCCATCAGGCCCCATTGGTTTGTAGGGCGATATACTAAATAGAGGACCTTTCAAATCTAGGGGCTAGAAAAGATTTGCCTAGAGAAATATATGTAATAATTGTTTTTTATAATAATATTAAGAGGCTGTTTATGGATACTATGCAAAGTATGCACCCAAGGGAAAAAAGGGTGCACAATGTGCACCAGCTGTGGTGGTGAGAGGAGCAGACAGAGGAGGCTTCAGCTTCCCTTTATTTCTCCTAGGGAACAAAATTCAAGGTGTGATACATAGAGAATCATTTTTATGGAGATTAGGATAAAGCAGGTGCATCTGGCAACCGTTAGAAGATAACCCTCAGGCTAATATAATGCTGAATTGAGCTTTGACTTTTTCCTAGTTTCATACTGAAAGATGCAATGATATATAGTCATTCATTCAAGATATCTCTCCTCTCCCACTTAAAGGGCTGTTCTTAATGTTCCCAAAAATCAAGGGCAAAAAGATACAGCAGTTCATGGAAAAGAGCATTCCTTGCAGGTTTTCCTCCCTGACTGCAGGCAGCTGGCCTGCAGCCCATTAGAAACACCCTTACCTTTACTGTCTCATGCATTTATTTCAGATGCCAAAATTGGGCCTGAAATAGGACCTCAGATGCAAACAGACTTGAGTGGAAAATTGAAACACTCAAGCTGGAATTTGTTGTCAGATTCTTGGTTCACAGTCAGACACTGAAAGAGGTATTGAAGCTTCAAAGAGTCAAGCTTCTTCTTCTTGGCTTACCCTGGCTGAAAATTTGTTTCACGTGAGTTTGCATAAATAAAATATAAAACTATTCTTGTTATTTCAGGGAAATAAAAATATCAATTATTCCCAGGTACAGAATATAATCCTGACAGAATAACAAGTGTTTATGTGTTATTTTGAAATATTTCTTCTTTAGAAATCGTATTTCTATTTTATATTATTCTTATCTATGTGAGATTTTGCCAAAATTGTTATTCTGAACAACCCTATGAAGTGATGCTGAAAATGTGTCAGAGGGCTATGGCATCATAAACAAAAAAATTTACATTTCCAACTTGATTTTCAGTTTGATATTCCATTAGTTTTTTCCTACTTCGTGCAAATTACTATCACTTAAAGAACCCCACTTTTCTGCTAGAAAACCCAATCATAATTAAAAAAAAACAAAAACAAAAAAAAAAAAAAAAACAAAAAAAAAAAAAAACAAACAAAACCAAAACAAAAAACCCAGTATCGCTGCAGGCTTACATTTATGCCAATAGGAATTTTTTACACTACCCTTATTTTCCTAGAATGGATGTTACAGGCATCTTCCACTTAGAGTTTCTTTGGTAACGTGATCGGCAGACAAACCTTCTGAGCCAGATGATTTTTTTTTTTAATTTGCTTTGTATTTTCATTTGTTATCCCGGGCCACACAAACAGTTCTGGAATGTCTGGCAAGTGAAAGTTGCTGCTTTTTTGGGAGTGTAACACCTTAAGGCATTTGTTCTGCACAGAAGAGAAATATTAACTATCGATGGGTGTAGACTTGGACACAGTTGTATGAAAATTCTCAGAACACTACCTATACTGACTCACTCACACACTCCACAATAATGCAAAGTGATTCATTGGTGTCTCATCTGATCCCTCCATGTGACAACTCACAGCTTACAGCACATAAACCAGTGCTATGGCAACAGATGGAGCTTTAATCCATGACCAGGCTTTCACAGGGGCCTGGGTCACAAATGTGGGCTTCATATTCTTAACTTCTGGGGACTCAAAAGTGTTTCAGCTATAGACAAAGCAGTGTCTTTTAAGAAGGATCTGTGCATGTTGGTTCGGGGGTTTTTGTTTGTTTGGCTTTCTTAGTTCATGTTCTGCAGTAGAAAGAGGCCTTTCAACCTCCCCTTTTACACTCAGACTCACCAAAATCAGCCATGAAAATTGCACAGCTACTCTCCTGTACATGTGGACTGAAGCCAATTCCAGCTGTGGGCTGTCCTGGAGCTTCTTTGGCTCTGCACTAAGCCATGAAGGTTGCTGTGCATGTACTCCCCTTTCCCCTGAGCAATGGATGGGAACAGTCAAGGCTTCAGGTCTGGACACACACTAATTTGGAAGGTACAACTGACACAGCAAAACCACCTGCATTTACTGATGACTTAGGATGGAGAAATGAGGATCCATCCCCAGCCAAGATAAGGCTGAAGAAAATGACTTCTGCTATTAAAAGCTCTCCCAGGTTACTTCATTTCTTTCTTGATTTTCTCCAAAACATGCCCTCTACCTTTCCTTCAAGGGCTGCAACTACCACACACTACCTCTTTGTAGAAGTTAATCCTTCAGGATGACAAGTCATTTCCTGCTTCTTTGGAAAATGTATTGTTACAGCATTGATGGAGATAAAATGAATATTTATTTAAAAAAAAAAACCATACAAGGCAAACCTAATTAATTGAATTCAACAAATTATGCCAAAGACATAGTTAAGAGAAGTGTTACTGTTTAATCTGCTTTTCTTAGGTCCTCTTGTCCTATAATTCCACCCAATGTGCAGGCAGACAGGTCTGTACACTGAGCTTTCCTTCATTTTGCTCTCCTTTATTTATTTCTCCATTGTTTCACTTTATTATTTAAAAGTGCTGAGAGGCTAGACAAGAGTCAGATCAAGTCAATGTGTCAGGCTAATGTTTAACCCTAAATTTATACCTCATAGATAAAAAGGGATTGTACTACAGATTTCACAGCTAGAGTCCCTCGCTTCAGCCTGCCTGGTAGAAGCACTAGTAGCTGTAGAGTCAAAGAGCATTCAGCACCTTCCTAATTCATCCTTAGCTATATTTTTTCCCCCTCCTTAGAACTGAACTGGACTAAAACACACCATCTGGATGAACAGTCCTTCCGTTTATTATTTGTCATTGATGAGCTACAGATAAGCTTCAGCTTGGCTGTTAACAGAGTTAATCTGGTCAGAGCACCAGTCATAGCAAACCAGAATCCTCCATCAGAGAATTGTACAACTGGTGCAATGCCAAACTTTGAAGCTCCAGAAGTCAAAAAATTTGTTGCTTGGGACTATGTTGTTTTTGCCGCACTGTTTTTGGTCAGCGCCAGCATTGGAGTCTTTTTTGCAGTTAAAGAGAGGAAAAAAAAAACTTCAAAGGAGTTTTTGGTGGGCGGTAAGCAGATGACATGTGGACCCATAGCTTTTTCTCTCACAACAAGCTTCATGTCAGCAGTAACAGTCCTGGGGACACCCTCTGAAGTTTATCGCTATGGGGCATCCTTTGTGCTGTTCTTTCTTTCATACGCGCTTGTCATCATTTTTACTGCTGAACTTTTTCTGCCTGTCTTTTACAGATCTGGCATAACAAGCACTTACGAGGTAAGTGAAAATCATAAAATCAAGGCACTGTTCTAGCATAAGTCAGTATCATGCACGTATTTTTAGACAAAAATCTCTGACAGAAAACTTTCTGCGGTGTTTTACAGAACAATCGCATCGATACATCAATTATTTTTAGAAACTAGTTGCATTATCCAAACTAGTTGTTTATGTTGCTTAAGTTGAAAGCACAAAATAAGGGTCAGAGATCCTGTTATGTAAATACAGCACAGACAGGATATGGGTTTACACACCAGTACCAAATTAAATTACGGTTGGAAAATATTTAAGTATATCCAAATGCTTCTGATGTTATAAGTATTCCCCTCTGGTTTAGAGAGCAGGTATTAAAGACAGACTTTAAGAACAACATTCAACACTATCCAATTCAAACTTAGTCTAGATATGGCAATTTGATCAAATTTACTACAAAAGTGGACTATCGGATATCGAAAAATCTGAGATGGGAGGAAGAGAAAGAAGATGGCAGCCGTGTTCCAGAAATAAAAAAGAGAGAAGAAAAAAAGACAGGGTTGGAAAACAAATTCGCTAGGAAATTAAATGAATGACTTATGAATTTTGTAGAGTTTTTGCCTGGCATTCTTTCTGGAAGACATTATTTTCTTCATAATTCAGTTCAGCAGCAGCCCTTATCACCTGCACATCCATAGGGCAGCTACTGACCATTTGGGATAGCCTCTTACTTACTTTAATCAACTGCTGCAAATTTGGTTGCTCCTGTTTCTGGGCAGTTTCAACTAAGCAAGAATTGGAGGAGGAAATTTGGGTTAGTTCACAAGGAGCTTCCTGAAAACAGAAAGGCTGCTCATGTTCTCTGAGCCCGAGCCCAAGGAAGGGCTTTGGTCAAGCAGATCTGCCTGGGTTAGGAAATATTTTCAGGTTGGAAAAGAGTAAAATTGACCATTGCTGCAAGTAGTTGCATTTTCTGGCTGGTTTTGATCCAAGATCAGAGAATAAATTACTTTTGTCATTTGAAACACCGATGGTGTCGTTGTAGTCAGAGAGACCCTTCAAGTATACTGGAAAGATGATTTTGCTGGCTTCATGAATTATTTTTAGAATCAGGTCAAGTTACATAAACTAGCTATGTATTCGTATGGGAGACCATGGGGTTTATTATGCAAGAAACACAAGACAAGCACAAACAAAATTAATAAGATGCTTTGGCAATAATACATAGTGCATAGCCTGGAGACTTGTAAAGAGAGAGGACTTGTGCAGTCCATGCCAGGTATCTGCTGGGGATATGGGACTATGGCCCAAGGAGAAACCCAGCCCAGGGCAGGCTGCATGGAGGCTGCCACAGGGACAGAGAGATTTTACAGAGACTCCACAGAGAGATTCCAGGTGGTGATTTAGGCTTAAAATCTGGGCTTTTGGGTCTAGACATCTGCTCACCTCTGCAGTTGTGTGGTAGTTGGGAACACTTTTCTACATCCACCTGGAAGTCCATAAGATCCCCTCTCTTGTCTTTTCACATTGGTGATGTGCAGATTTGGCTTTAGGCTGAGGCAGAGCAAATGAGAAAGCCAGCTTCGCTCATGCGCTAGGAAACTCCACATTGCTGCTTCACCTCCACTTTTGCCAGTACTGGAGTCAAACAATGCTATTTCTGCTAGAGATGAGCTTAAGTCTCCTCATTGTATAGTTGGAACATACTTTCATTTGAAGTTTGAATTTCCCTCCTTTGTAGCCTTTGGGCTCTTCCAGTTATTCCTGATACAGAGAAGGTACTGCAACCCAGCTAGAACTTCAAGTACATGGTAAAGATGAGAAGATTTCTTAAATGCAATTATCCCTGTGTATAAGGACAGTCCTGCTCTCATTATTACTCGTAACAGCGGTGCCAGCTGCCAGTGATTTTACTTGCATGGCAAGGTGTTAACTTGGGGCAAACAGCATCTGTGTCACAGATGCTACATGTGCAATTTACTGAGATTACTCTTTTTCTTAGTATTTGGAGTTAAGATTTAACAAGATTGTCCGCCTTGCTGCAACGTTGATCTACATCCTGCAGACGGTAAGAAAACATTGACTCATTTTAATGCTAATTTCACTCAACATTGATTTTCACAAAGTAGTCTCAGATGGCACATTTTTTAGAATGAGATGTTTTAATGACATTACTCTTTTTTCTTAGTTTTTTTCACTTGCACTATGAATGCTAAAATGAAAGAATGATGGTATTGTGGGATATTGGGAGACATTCCTTTTTGCATGATTTTCATTTTATTAATTTCCAAACCTTCAGCAATAGATTTGAATGCTACTGAGCTTTATATTTTGTTTCTCCATGAGTTCTGTTAGAACTATGTGAAGGGCATTAAGTCAGTTACTTGAAAGGGATTGAAGAGAAAAATTAAAATTTAATTTCTGAGATCCACACAACTTATTTCTGTATCACTCTTCGTGTTTTCTGCAGATACTCTCTTTCTATTTGGTGACAATATTTTGTCATCTAGTCATCTTAGCAATAGGTGAAATAAGTAATATCAAGACAGGTAACTGTCCTTCCCTCAGAAAGGAATTAAACCAAAGATTTTTATTTTGTAAGGGCTGAAACAGAAAGACATATACAATACAAGCAGACCTAAAGAACATCCTAGATCCAGTGTTTTGCTCAGAGCCCCACTCTAAACAGAAGCCTTATCACTGAGCATTCAAATACATGACTTTTTAATGGATTTTTTCTCCTTCAGATCCTCTACACGGGAATAGTGGTCTATGCTCCATCGCTGGCACTCAACCAAGGTGAGTTCCCATGCTGCACTACACTGCCACCCCGAATAACCACACCACAAGGCAATCAGAGTAAATGAAATGAGGAAAATTGATACACAACACAAAAACCTAACTCTCCTCAAAAGTTCTGTAAGCAGGTTTTGCCTCCACCTCACAGCTCTGCCTTTCTGACCCCCCAGACCCCTCTCACACCCGTACATTAGTAGGAGCCTCGCTGTTGCTGCTCTGCTGTCCTTTCCACTCAGTAACCACCTGAAGAGGTTCGAAGCAAACAGTTTCCCAACATCCTGACAAAGTTCACAGTACAAGCTGATGATCCAAGACCATACCCTGTACTTTGACTCCCCCCTTTGCTCTCTCCCGTGTTCAGATTTCCATGGGAGTAACTCCTTCCCATGTAGCTGGAGCTCAGTGCTGTACTGCTTTCTGTCTGCAGACTTAATCGAATAATGTTTGCAAACTAGGCATACAGCACCCATCACCACAGATGGAATCAGTAATTTTACTGCCAGAGGGCACAAGGAATCATCATGACCCAAATCCTGATTTCACCCAAACTGACTGGGAAGAGACTGTGAGGCTCCTTTCATTGTTCATCATCTGAGTTGCAGCCAGTTTGTCCAATCCCTCCTCTCATACAGCACCAAATTTCCTTCCTCTGGTGTGCAAAGGAATTCCGTGTGAGAGTTCACATTCATTATTATGTCATACTAACTTTGCTAATAAGAGAACCTTTAAAAATATATTTGCTTTCACAAACTGTGCCTTGTGGGAGAGATTTCAAGATCAGACAAACCAAAATTTCTGTGTCTTGTGTAAAGGAACTTTATGAGGCAAAATGGACAAAAAAATTCGTTTTACTGAAGCACATTTTAGCATCAAACTGTTCCTAGTTGCAGGGAATGGAATTTACTTAGGGCTTGGGTGGTTTTGTCTTAGGATTCTTTGGGATTCTCTGAACAACTTGGTTTCTCAGAAAAAGTTCCAGCCTAGGGAACAGAAGGGAAGCATTGCTTATAAAGCTGTGTCCCATCAGAATGACACTTCTGCTTTATGCAAGTATTCTTCTTTCATGTTACTTTTGCTTGAAAGTTAGTTAATTCCAATTTGAAAGAGGACAACAATGCATAACAGCATCCAGAAGTTCTAAGAAACTTGAACAATCCAGCAAAGCTCCTAGTAGACACAAAAGATTAAAATTAATAATCACTCCTATCCTTCTAAAGGATTACAGCTCTACTGTTACTATTCAGATTTCTCTAATGATTTGGTTTTCTTTGGTTTTGCAGTCACTGGATTTGATCTCTGGGGCTCTGTAGCTGCAACAGGAATTGTCTGCACTTTCTATTGCACTCTGGTATGTAACAGGCCTTACTGAACAGCTGGAACAAAAATGGTTAATTCAACCACCCTTTAAACATGACAGACTATGGCAGTAGGGTGTCTGCCACACACAGTCTGACTGAAGTTTAAAATTGGAGAACACAGAGATAAATTTCTTCTACACTCTGTGGTATAAATAAGTCTATTTGGAGAAAAAAAAAATCCTGTCTAATCCTCTGCTGTATGTTGCAAGATTTAAAGAAGACAGCTTGAGGCAGAGTCCAGATAAGGAGGCGATAACCTTCCCCTGTCATACTAAATCTTTTGATAAGACTTGATTCTTATCTTTTTCAAGTTATAGGCTGAAAAACTCTGTAATGAAAAATGTGCCTCTGGTGTTACCCCAGATCAAGAACAGAGCAATAAAACCTAGGAAGGACAACCAACAGGTCATAGAAAGCTTTGCTTCTGAGTGGAAGCAACATGAGACTCCAAATTCCAAAACAGATAAACATGGCAGCGAAGTAGCAGAGCCCTGGGGCTCGGGATACAACCTAGTTCCTGTTCTCGTTACCACTAATTAATTTTTTCAATATTTCAGTCCACTCTTGTTGAAATCACTTATTATTGTTGCTATAGTACAGATTTGATCAAATATGAAAGTAGCTATGGAAGAAAGCTGAATGGCAAACTTTCTGGGGCTATTTTCCTGTGTGAGGCTAACTGTGCACCAACGGGCTGTGAGAACACATGGAGTGCAACAGGATGTATGAACAGGCCAGAACTCCCTAATTTTTGCCCTGTGATATGTTCTTCAAATGCACATAAAGAAGGCACAAAAAAAGCATGTAACTGGAAGTCAGGTATTCTCCTATAACTATTTAGGCTGTGGAATTTTCTGACCTGCAAAATACAGCCTTCACGGGAGAATGCAAAGAGTCCTGATTTGCTGGGTGCTGTGCATACAGCTCGTGAGCTGTTGAAATAAGGAGTATTTCTACATTTTGCAGTACTCAAGCAACAGGAAAGAAGATTGGGGGCATACAGTTTCTCTTTGTTTTAGGGAGGATTAAAAGCTGTTGTCTGGACAGATGCATTTCAAATGATTGTCATGGTGGCTGGCTTTCTGACGGTTTTGATTCGAGGAACTAGTCTGAATGGTGGATCAACCAAAGTCTGGGAAGATGCCCATGAAGGATCACGACTAAACATATTTGAGTAAGAAACAAGTGGTGCAATACTTCCCTTTTTTGAATATTTAATGTTTAGAAACCCTACACTCACTAAGCCAAAAACATGGTGTAACTCTTGGGGATGGTCCTGTGCAGGGCTAAGGGTTGGACTCAACGATCCCTGTGGGTCCCTTGCAACTCAGCATATTCTGTGATTCTGTGAACCTTGGTGATTCAGAGACATCCATTCCTCATTTCTTCAGCTCTTGGCAATGCAGTTGGCCCTCGGGAGAGCTTAACTCTTTCAAGAAATCAAAGCTCTGCTGAACTGAAGGGGAACTCTGCCATTTTTTTTTTGTGTAGCTACAAATGAAGCCAAATACCTTCCAACTGAATATATCTTTCATTTTCTTTCTTAAAATTAGCACTTTGTTTTACATGCACTCACCACAGCAGCTAGCAATGGTGCACTGGGATAGAAATCTGACCTTCTTTTGGCTGTTTGGGGCATTCACTAAAAAGTTCATTAATCAAGGCAAGTCACTGACAGAATCCAGCAGCAAGGTCAAATGTTATCTGCTGTACCTACCAAGATAAGGAGAACTGCAAAGATGACAGATTTAAGACAGAAAGATATGCTTGTACCAGTTAGACTTACTGAGTAATGGAATTTCATTGTACAAAAGATAACACTGCAGCTGAAGCAATTTCTGTAAAGGAATTTAAGTCATCATGATGTGTTATTAAGGGTTTGCTGGATTTTTTTAGAGTTTGCTAAGTGACCTTGTTCCTAACAGAGGACAGTGTTCCAGGCAGGATGGCTTGTAGGTCTGTTGCTTCAATATGATGCAGATCTGACATTTGGGCATAAGCAGCCTCATAAATGTGATTAATTTAACTAATTGGTCCTCTGACTGAATCTGAATAGTATTTGTTTATCCTGATGTGAAAAAAACGTGTTCCAATATAAAAGTAATAAAACTTCCAAACCTAAACACATCAAATGTTGTCAGTGCTGGAGGACAGTATTGCCAATGTAGAATTTCTGATTCAGATGGCAGGACATGCCAGATAATTGTGAAAAAAATCACCTACCTCTTGCTAATAAATGTTTATATAAGCAAACTAGATTGCTTCTTTCTTTCTTCTAGCTTTGATGCTGATCCTTTGAGACGACATACCATCTGGACAATAGTTATTGGGGGAACATTTACGTGGCTAGGGATCTATGGAGTCAATCAGTCCACGATACAGAGATGCATTTCTTGCAAATCGGAAAAGCATGCTAAACTGTAAGCTGCCTGTCATTAACCTATTCCTGCCATCAAGCATACTGATGTGGAATCACACTAAGTTTGTCAGTTATGCTAAGTAAATGTTGGGATCCCATTGGGTGGTAGCAAGCTCATTTTGCTCTGACAGTCTTACTACCCCTTGCTCTAACTGACTTAAGTAAATGCAGAAAGAAAAAGAGATAGCTATCTATCTGTTGCAGTTTATCAGTTTGTGGTCAGCCAAATTAATCCCCAGTAGGAGAGTATGGCAAAGATGCCCACACAGAAATTATGCTATCTACAGCTTAATCGTAAAAGTGTATTTATCAGAATTGTGTTAAAATTGTATTAAAAGTGGTTATTGATTTTGTGGGGTGCTACAGTACAAGGTATTATCTAAATAAAATAAAATCAATAATTTATTTAAATTCTACAGCATAAAAATAATCAGAATCAACTTCAGTGGTGGCATGTGCATAGCTAGACATGTTTTACTAAACAATCAGATTTTTTTCACACACCTAGCACTAATTGTTTGCAGACATGTCTAAAGCATAAAGATTCTTACTTTTTTCCCTCTTCAAACAGTTAGCCTTTTTGCTGGCTGCAAACATACTAATTTTTCTTGAGGTTGTGTGTGTCTATTTGAATTTATCCTGCAGAAAATTCATTGTCTGAAAAACATTTATAAGTCACACCAGTGAGAACATCACTAGTAAGAAGTTGGGAAAGACTTTTGGGTCCCGGGTCTGAACTGGCCTCAGCAAGAGACCTTGCATAAGGTGATGTTCAAACACAACGTGGGCTCTGTAAAATCTGGCAGCTCTCAGGACTTGTAGGCCTGCTGAACCACAGCCACACAACCTTCCCAGCAGGTGCTGTCACCCACACCCTTTCCATGGGATGGTGAAATACAACTGAGACTGTTACTTCACATGGTGAAACATGACAGAATCCATCCAAAAAAGTATTCTGTGTGCCTTAATGGGTGAACAGCAACAACAGCTCCCAACAGGCAAAAATCTGCTCTTACAGGGGACAGGAGTGAAGATTCAGTGCTCTCAGTGCAGCCCATTCTGCATAGAGGATACTGGTCTCTTCCAACTGTACAAAGTTACCTGGAAACATTATCCTTGCCCTATAGCATAATGATGCTGTACTTCTCCAGGTTTTTTTAAACTCTTGCTTTGAATTATACAGCCAGCTTTGAATTAGATAACCGGCTGTAATTAAGGCATCTCCCTAAAAGGTTTGGAATAAATAACTTGTAACAGCTTTTTTGTTATTTTGCATTAAACAGTTTCTTGCCTTTGCTCTAGGGCACTCTACCTGAATTTATTGGGACTTTGGACAGTCCTAGCGTGTGCAGTATTTTGTGGATTGGTGATGTATTCCCATTACAAGAGTTGTGACCCTTGGACTGCTGATTTCATTTCCGCTCCTGATCAGGTACAGATGTCCATTACTGGCGCTGCTTTGGGCCCAGATATAGCATATATCAGGACAGTTCAAATTTTGTGCAATGCTTTATGTCCTTTCAGCACTGAGGCTGGTTGCCAAATCAGTGCTACAATAATACCTATTCTGGCGCTTCTGCAGTGCTAATCCAAATGGGCATTTTTCCCAAAAGACATCCCCTTTGCTCAAAATCTGACACCATGTTATTTGGGACAATGCCAGAATTTAGCAACATGCCCAGAAACAGCTACTTTTCTTCCATTACCCAGGAAAACCTTAATTAATTTCTTGTGTTGCTCTTGTGCTCCTTCTACACCAGCTCATGCCCTACTTTGTCATGGACATTTTTTCTTCGATGCCAGGAGTCCCGGGACTGTTTGTTGCCTGTGCATTCAGTGGAACACTAAGGTATGTGAATTTGAAATGACATTTTAGCTGTGTAGGATGATTTCTAAGAAGAATGACGTTAAAACATGAAACCCTAAAAAAAGGCCCAGCTTTTTTTCTTAGAACATTCTAGGAAGCAGCAGTAGTGCTTTACTGAATTACACTACATCCCTGGGGGTATTTGAAAAGGGGAGTATTTAAAAGACACGTAGACATTAGGGACATGGTTTGTGGTGGATTTGGCAGTGCTGGGTTAATGGTTGGACTCCATGATCTTAGAGATCTTTTCCAACCTAAAAGCTTCTGAGATTACATTTATGACACAGTCTAGCTCCACTTCGCCAGTATCTTTATATAACAAATAGGTTTTAGAATAATATTATCAATGCAGACAAAATAAAACTGAGCTGCTCATGGCAAAATTGTCTTTACCTAAGCTAACTGCCACAATATCACAGTCAGGATATAAATCTTCTCAGCAAGTCTATCTGTGACTGTATTCACCAAATATGGGTCCATTCCCCTAGCTTAAAGCCAGGTCATTCATGAAGGACCAGGGTAGCACTAGTGGTAACTGCACATCTTTCAGTTCGTAAGAGAGTAAAGTTTTAATTCTGGAACGTCTATATTTTGAAGGTCTTTACAGATTTGTAAATGGAACTGTCAGTTAGGATGAGTTTCTGTCTCGTTCCATGCCAGCATGAAGCAGAGCCCTCCACAACTGCAGAGGTAACAGAAACCTCCCCAGCTACAGCAGCACACATGAAAAACACCACGAAACATACAGTTCTTGAGGAGCATTAGTGCTGAACAAGAGGAAGCATTTCTTTATATATACAATTGGATTTCAGATTACACTGCTTTCTATTTACTTACCATCCTTCTCCCTTTCTACAGCACGGTAGCTGCCAGCATCAACGCTTTAGCAACTGTTACCTTTGAAGACTTGGTCAAGAAAGGTTTCCCAAACCTCTCGGAGAAGATGAGCACGTGGATCAGCAAAGGCTTATGTAGGTACCCTAGAGGGGTTCCATTTTTCAGCAGCAAAGGGCACTGTATAAAGACATTCCCTCAGAAACACCTGTGCTTTGGTAACCTCCACAGGAATGCAACCCTTTAGAAACTCCCAAGGTGAATGTCAGACTGATTTTTCAATAACATTAAGTACCAGCACTGTATGGTACTGGAATAAACATAGACTAGCATCAACAACTACTCGAAATCCTTGGAAAAGTTTGGTCTACTGAAAATTTTGGAAAACACTCTTTATGACACAGAAAGAATATCAATGTAGTTATTACCACATTTATCTATAGTAGTATTGCATATTCTTTTAGAGCAATACAATAAGTAATTTCTATTCAAGCTTAGAGTTATTACATAAGCAGGTTATTCAGCTGTTCAGAGAAAAAAATACGTAAAAAAAAATTAAAAAACCCAGATCATCAACAAAGGAAGCATCAAAGCAACTTGAATTTTTAGGATAGTTTTTACAATTATTGCATTCATATCATAATCCTTTTATGAATACCAAAAACATCACAGAAAGGCCAAGCCAATATCTTTTGTATCTCTGTAACTGTTACTACCCTTCTCCATTTCTGTTTTTCCACTTACTACTTAGTTTTGTTCACTCTGTACCTCGAATTTTCACCAAGGTGTGCTAGACCATTTTAGTTGGCTTTACTTGAGACTGCTGCATACAGAGTTCTGCCTACCACAAAGTTAAAATTGGTGTCAAAGGAAGAAAACCATCATTTCTCAACTCATTACTAGATTATTTTAAAAGTGATATTTAAAGGCAACAGAAATATTTCTACATGAGGCATAACTCCTAAATTAATTTCATTGCCATTGCTCTGCTTTGTAAGAAAAGTCAATCAGCCAAAAACCCAACAAGACTTCACACAAGACACTGCTGGGTGCTTAATGGTCCACTCTAAACGTCAAATCCAAAGTGCAAATTCCCCTAATGCTGCCTGGTCACCTCAGACACTACTGAATTAGAAACTGTCCCCACTATTGCCCAGCACTGAGAACCTCGTTACCTGATCTTTTCCAGGTGTGTTATACGGTGTCCTGTGCACCTCCATGGCTGCAGCAGCGTCGCTGATGGGAGGAGTCGTGCAGGTATTTCTTGCTTCAGACATGCAATGAACAGAACAGGAGTGAACAGAAATGCAGTGAACTGAACAAATAATGCTGCCAGCTCCGAGGGCTGCTGCATTACCTAAACTGTTTCAGTGGATCCTCTGATAAGAGGAATAACTAGGAAAAAAAAGATCATAAATCCCCTAACTCCATTTTTTACTCACTGCTAGGAAACGGTACTGTGATTCTCTTTAACTGTGCCTTGAAATCACTGCTTATCCCTTCTCCCTCACCATTTTCCCCCTCAAAATTACAGACAAAAACCAGAACTGTGCATGCTCCGCTCAACTGCTGCCCTGAACTCCCCTCTCTTCTCTGCACCCACAGGCTTCCCTCTCCATCCACGGGATGTGTGGGGGCCCCATGCTGGGATTATTTATGCTGGGAATTGTGTTTCCTTGTGCTAACTGGAAGGTAAGGTTAAAAAAAATCCTGATCTAAAAGAAAATCTCTTGATGTTGTTTGGTTAAAACTCCATCTTGAAAATTGTTTGGGTTTTTAATTTGGGCTGCTTTTCAGATTTAGAGCCTGAGGATCTAAGATCTGTTTAGTTGTGCCTTTTCCCTGTCTGAATTTATCTTTTTCAATTTAAGTCTACCCAGCTGTGGAATGATTGGTGATTAGAGCCACATGAGGGTTTTTTTTTTAAATTATTTTTGGTTTTAAGTTTCACTAAGAAGAAAAAAATATTCAGTACTCACCCCTGCCTTGGGACACAAAGAACTGTGTCAGTTGCTCTGCATTTGCTATCTCACTCAAAACACAACATGAACTCATTCCATATTGCCCCATCAGCACTCCCATCACGGTTACCAGAAGTAAAACTAAAATCTGTATCACAGCTCTGATCACAGTTTTGCTTCAACTTTTATACCTAGAGGGCACTAAACCACCACATTTTGTTCCTTGGTCAAGAGAACAGAATTTATTTACACTGACATAGACTAAACCATCATCACCTACTCCTGCCTAACTCATGTTCACAGAAAAGCACTTTTGGCGAATCACCTTTAACAGCATCTTTCTACACTTGCCAAGGGTGCTCTTGGAGGCCTCTTAGCTGGGATCACCTTGGCTTTTTGGGCTGGTACTGGTTCTTTCATTTACCCTGCACCACCAACAAAGTCCATCCCTCTGCAACTGTCGACCCTCAACTGCACGCTGGCGAACGGCACCGCATCGCTGACGACAGCAGCTCCCACGGCAGCTCCAGAGAGGTATTGCTACCACCTAAGCCTGCATTTTGGCACAGAGTACAGCCCCAGCAGGGAGCAGGCTGGGAGCGCACAGTAACTGCAGTATGAGCTGCATTTTGCTGGCACAGTCAGGAGACAACTTAAACGCACTTGTTGCCCGTCATGAGCTGCTTTTGTCACCTCTTCACAGGCCTTTGCTGGCAGAAACCTGGTACTCCCTGTCCTACCTGTACTTCAGTGCCATTGGCTGCCTGGGATGTGCCATCATAGGGTTGTTGATAAGCTACATAACAGGTGGGTGTTCTATATAAACATATAAATATATATATTTATATAAAACAATTACGCTTTCGCACAAGAATCTGACCCAGCTGTTAAAAAAGCTTTTAAAAATCCAGCCTGTGAAACACAGACTCAGGAGGAGAGGGCATCAGGCTCTGATCCTGCTCCCCCACCTCATAGTCTGAGGCTCTCAAGGCTCATACCTAACTACAGACTCATGTATCATTATTTATATTTTTTTTCAGGACCTACTAAAGGAGAAGATATCCCACCAGTGTTAATTAAGCCAGTCTGCAACCTGCTTTTCTTTTGGTCTGAAAGACTCAAAACTCTCCTCTGGTGTGGTGTGCGGCACGACAGCCTGGAGGTGAGTACCTGAACCAACCAGCTCAGCCCTGCTGTGGCCCGGGAGCAGCAGGAACACGTGCATGTGCCTACATGAGGGCATGTGCCAAACAGAGAACCAAACAGCTCTCAGCAATCGCTTTTGAACTTATGAAAAGGGTGCTGCTTAGGCACTGCAGACTGGAAATGAGATCAGTCAAAGCCTGGTCAGTAATAAGTTACTTATTTTTCCTGTTTGCATCACATATGGGGCCCCAGGTTCTCCAGAGACAAACAGCCCATGAAATGGGGTCTGACCTCCCTCTCCCTGCCCTCCCTGCTCCAGCAGCCAAGCGGGGACAAAACCGCACTTTAAACCATAGTGAGGGGTTCACCAAGCTATCACCTCCTCCGAGCACAGAGGGGAAGACTTAAGCACTTATATGACTTCTTGTTGCTGCCAGCCCCACCTTCAGAGCTTCTGGGGCTTCTCCTCTCCAGAGCAGCACCAAAGAGTAGCAACCAGGCAGGGCTGCAACCACCAGCACCTGGGCTGCTCCTTCCCACCTCCACTTCCTCCTCCTCCACAGCAACATCACTGGCTGTTCTTCAGGTGTCTGGAGTCTTTGTAGCTCATTAAAAAGGCATACAGAATGAACATCTTGTCTTCTTGCACTGTTCTAACAATTTTCCTTCAATCAAAGGGAAAAAAGCAGTGAATATAGGCTTTAAACTACAGGGATATTTTCTTTCTTTTTTTTTCAGATTGACTTTGAGAAAAAACTGCCTAAAGTTACTGCAAATAAAGCCTTCAAGAATAGTATCAGCAAAGAAACCCATTGCCAGATCTCTGGTTACAATCCTGAGGAAAAATCCTATACAAATATGAGCAGAGAATCTCGCCTCTAGAAGCCGAGGGACAGGGGACATTTAACCCAACTTTAGTTCTCCAGCTTCAGAGATTATGAACTTTTTTTATTGCATTTACTGGCTTGTAGGTGACCAAGAGGGAACAATTGCTCTCTATAGCAATAAAGGCCAGATTTTTATTTATTAATTTCTTGGCAGATCTGGGAAATGATCGGACAATGGGATTTTGGAAGTACTGCTGTTTCAGAAGAAATGCTTAATAAATCTGGTTGTGGGAGCTCCCTCCTTGAAGCAGCTGCACTACATCTGTATCACATGCTCTGTTCAGTAACTTGCCATTGAGGGTAAATGTGCAAAGGTGAATTTGAGATAAAATAAGACTTTGGAGAAGTTTCTGAAGTCTCTCACTAAGGTGAGACTGTGAATTGCCCTCTGATGGAGGGAGAGGAGGGAGGTCAGGTTAATCCTATTCCCAGGTATTGCAAAAAGCCTCCTCACACATCATTTACATCTCATGGCCACACACATGATTGACTAGGTTGTATTAAGAAAACCTAACTATCATGCATAAGGGCATAAAATAATTCCTGAGTAGAAGTGTTTCAAAACACCAATATGAAGCTATATAGTCAGATGGAGGAGGACAAAACCCTCTCTACTGGTAGCTGGAGGATATCTGATTCAGAGACCTAGAACTGTGAAGATAACAAAGTCTGCTCTGAATATTTAAGGCACTTGCTCAATGCAGTATTATTATGTTCTGCATGCATTTCACAAGTTTAGCAACATTGGATTCATTACAAACTTAGTATATTTTGAAGTTGTTTGTCACAAAAGAGAATCTTAATTCTTCCATTTAATGTCAAAACCCATGATTTATGTTGGCTAGAATTTCATTCTCTCCAAATGCTGTTGAAGAAATATCATGAAAAATTTTTCTTCATATTTACAGATTAGTTTTGTTTCAGCTAAAGCTGCTCATTAAGCCCAAGTGTTTTCTGTATTTGTAATGGAGCCAGGCACGGGGTTTAATAAGTCCAACATGTGCACTTAAAAATGATGGCTAGAATTGTTAATCAGTAGTTCATTATTCAGTCTTTTAGCAAGATTTAAGAATAAGTCCTAACAAGACTGGAATTCAGAGAAATTACCATTCTGATCAAGTATTCATGTCAGTATTTTTTACAATTATCTTCTCATTTCCTTTATATCCTGAGCCACTGACCCTTCCAGGGAAGAGCTAGCCTGTCCACTGTGGTTGAAAAACTGAGAATCAGAACAGGTAAATTCTAAAGGAGCTTAAATTTAAGAACTTGTTAGTCACTGGTGAAAGCAGGAGATCATAGATGGCTAAAAATTTCAAAACTGAATCTATCTGTGCCTTGAGATCAAAGTAATTGAGTATTTAATTGCTATAAGTGCCCGAGCCTACCCTGAAATTACTTCCTTGCAATAGTATGGTTTGAAGGCTCATTAGCACTCACTTTTTAAGTTTACAATTTTTTTTTAAATTAACTTTGAATATTTGGAATAATAAAGATCAAAGCCGCTTTCAAAGATATCCAAGTTTATTACTGAAAAAAATGCAATATTCAAATGTGTATGATACAGTAAGTAGTTGCATTTGTACATGTAAACCTTGATAAAGTAAACAGCATCTCAAAGACAAACTTATGCCAAAAGTGTCTTAATCAGATCTACAACTTTTTCCTCAGTGAATTCTTTTAGTTCTGGGGTACATACTGGCTTGCAAAAGTAATATTATAAAGAAACCGAAAGCTGACACGCCAGAGGAACTTCAAGGTTTTGCACAGAAAAGTGAATTTCTCTGAAACGCTCTGTGGTACTGTAAACTTATTTTAAATACTCCTTACAAAGTGTGGATTTACGAATAGAAAAAATAGCTGAAATTTTTACTCCTTACTTAGAAATGAAGTTGTATTTAAATATTACATAAATTTCAAATATATACACATTTTAAGAAATCTTGTACGATCATGATATTGCAAGTTAGCCAGGACTATCAGAGTAAAAAATGACTGAACTATCTTATTCAGTTAGATTTTACATGAGATTATTTCCAAGAACTGAAATTTCACTGATTACTACTCTAGGTAAAAATTAGAGCCAACAGTTTGGAATATTTTTCAATACAAAACTCTGAGTCATTTAAATAGAACACAAAATAAAAATCTGATCTGAATTTTTTTCCATTATTAACAGAAAAACTGTCATGTTCTCAGCAGTTAGAATCTCATTAGCTTTAGACTCTATTGGGTTTAATCCTGATTTCTCACCCAGTAGCATTCTACTAAGTAGCTCAAGTCAATTAGAATGCAAACTACAAAGAACATCTAACATTATAGAGGTTATACCAAGAAGTTAGAATGAGCCAACAGAACTAACACATGGTAACTTCCAGTGCAGTGAGGAGGGAATACACCATTAGTATTTCAAGACTAAACCCAAGTCCTGGATTAAAAAAGTTCCTGTATAACATGGAATAGCAAAGTGATTTCTCTACAGTTCCTTGTTGTGCCATTAGAACTTTGTGCTGTTGTGGTAACATTGTGCTATCATGGTAATGCCAAAATCATGTCAATCCAAATTTCTGGCAAATGTGATTGCAGTGGCAATATCAGACAAGAATTGTCATTACTAGGCTGTTATATAAATTTAAAAATTTAAAAATTTTAAGATTGTGGAGAGTATTTAGGATTGTGCGTGCGTGTGTGTAGGAAGGGACACAGGGAGAACAAAATGTGGTGCTTGGGGAAGAGACTGAAAGGATAGATCCAGAAACAGTACACGTGCAGGCATCTCGTGCTGCCCAACACTGCTTCGTCCAACACGTACTGATTTGTGAGAAGCACCAGACAAACTAGTACTTGTGCACTTCCCGCTTTGGCTTCTCAGTAGAGAACATCCAAAACCGGCCTGTAAACAAATTGCAGTTACAGAATTGCCCTGGAAATTGGACTGTCAGACAGAAGGCAGTGTGTAATAAAACACCGGGGTAAGTAAAGAATGAGCCAGAGGAGAAAAAGAGAAAGATCAGGAGGGCTGACCCAACACTTTATACTCAAATCCTTGTTTTTCAGAGCCTGTTGCAATTCTGGAGCAAAACCTGCTGAAGTGAAGATGATCCCTTTGCTTCCTCTGCCTATCCTCAGCCTGCCTCCACATGCTGGTTGTTGCATTTTACCCCAGAAGAACATGGGCATTGCAAGCATAAGGTTGAGTATGAACACACTTAAGGAACTTTTTAAGTGGCTAAATTTTCCACTGCAGGAATTTAAGTTTGCAATTCACTTAAACACTTCCAAAAAGTGTCACTGTATGCATTTTAGGTAGACAAAATATGCTTTGCAACAAAACAAAAGGTCTGCCTAGATGTGGAATTCTGTTTGAATTCTAGTGTTAGCCTTAACACCAAATAAACACTATTATGAAAGGCTGGCCTTATATTTGTTTCAACCTTTGTCCCAAAACAAGCAACATCAGTACTTTATGAGGACTACAAAAAGATAAAATGATTCTGGAAGTATTACTGTGTTGTAAGTGATTGTTGATACCACTATTTTTATCTCCGTCCCTTTTCTTAATAGAAACTTAATAGAAAATGTGATTTTTATTTTATTTTCCATTACCTTTATTGCATTCATAGGTAGCTGTTTCTATAAAGTGAGTTTTATTGATATGGCCATTGCCCATTCAACTTATGGACATGGATGGTTTTCAATTAACCAAAATGAGACGATGCTTCGAAATATGCATGTGCTAATTTGTCTCTTAATGAACTGTGACATAATGCAAAAGATTACAAAGTCCCACAGTGCCATGTAGGGCTTTGTAGGTAACTCCACTGGATCCCATGGCTCCAGAAATTCTCTCTGGCAACACTCCCAATTGGAGTCTGCAGTGGAAGAAGATGCAGCAAGGAAACAGCATTTGTGCACTGTGTACAGCATCAGACTGATCATCTTAATGGCACATTAAGAATAAAGTATCACAAAAATTCTTGCCTTTCCCCACATTAACATCACCCTAAAACTGTTTTTCCTAAGATATTTTTCCTTCTGCAGAGCTTTCTATGAAGGAAACTTCTGGAAATTTATAAATTTTTGCCTTAAGGTATTTACCTATTAATCTATTTTCACCAGTCTCTGTAGATATTTTCCTTTTGAGCTTTCCACAGGACACAATTGAGCCGAACTGTTTCTCAGAACCCATTTTATGACAAGTTGTTGTTGGGAAAGGACATAGCTACAGCTGATGTGTATTTTGTAGCAAGAAACACATGGACTTTCTAAGAAACATGTAATAAAAACCCCCTTAACCTCCATCACCACTACTGAAACCTTAGCCTTGTCATCATCAATATTAACTTCAATGTTCATCTAAATTTTCTCTATAAATCCTTTAGCAAAAAGGGGTAGGAAAGAAAGATAACAGAAATAGCCATTGAATCATAGAATCATCAGGGTTGGAAAAGACCTCCAAGATCATCAAGTTCTAATTTTTAACCGACCATCACCACCACACCTAAACCACAGCACGAAGTGCCATGTCCTGTTGTTTCTTGAACACTTCCAGAGATGGGGACTTAACCACCTCCCTGGGCAGCCCATTCCAATGCTTTCAGTGAAAAAATTCTTCCTGATGTCCCGACCTGAACCTCCCCTGGTGCAGCTTGAGGCTATGTCATCTCTTCTGTCACTAGTTAACTGGGAGAAGAGGCCGAACCTCATTTTCCTACAACCTCCTTTCGGGGAGTTGTAGAGAGTGATAAGGTCTGTCCTGAGCCTTCTCTTCTCCACACTAAACAGCCCCAGCTCCTTCAGCTGCTCCTCATATGACTTAATCTCTAAACCCTTCACCAGCCTCACTGCCCTTCTCTGGACCTGCTCCACCACCTCAATGTCCTTCCTGAACTGAGGGGCCAAGAACTGGACACAGCACTCCAGGGGTGGCTTCACCAGCGTTGAGTACAGTGGAAGAATCACCTCCCTGGTCCTGCTGGCCGCACTATCCCTGATAAAGGCCAGGATTCCTTCCTGGCCACACGGGCACACTGCTGGCTCATGTTCAGCTGCTGCTGACCAGCACCCTCAGGTCCTTTTCCAGCCACTCTGTCCCCAGCCTGTAGCACTGCAGGGGGTTGTTGTGACCCAAGTGCTGGACTCGGCACTTTGCTGTGCTGAACCTCATACCATTGGCCTTGGCCCATCGATCCAGGCTGTCCAGATCCCTCTGCAGAGCCTTCCTACCCTCCAGCACATCAATAGTCCCACCCAACTTAGTGTTGTCTGGAAGTGCACTTGATCCCTTTGTCCAGATCACCGATAAAGGTATTAAACAGGACTGGCCCCAACACTGAGCCTCGGGGAGCCCCACCAGTGACCAGCCACCAACTGGATGCAACAGCACTCCCTGGGCACAGCCATCCAGCCACTTTTTAACCCAGCAAAGAGTGCACCTGTTCAAGCCATGGGCTGCCAGCTTCTCCAAGAGAGTGTGGCAGTAGACAGTTTCAAAGGCTTTGCTGAAGGCTTTGATGAGTTTTACCTTGTTTCCAAACACTAGTACTCCATCAGGATGCTCAATCACTGTGCTGTATGAGCCTGGGCTCAACATTCAGGCAACCCTGTTAGCACTCAGTTGTGAATGCTGAGCCCTCACTGCCTCCCTCTACACGGAGATAGACTTTGAGCTATGATTAGGATGGCTAATGAAACAGAATTCTTATTTTCCTTTTTTTTTATTCACCAAAATTCAGATCTCACATATTAGGTGCAAATTTAGAATAAAAAGTCATAAGAAATGAGATGTGGATCACGTATCTGGACTTCTTGCCATTTCTGAAATGGAAATTTCTTTTGTCTGAACGAAGACACAGAATTTGGTTAGGAATAATTAAGACATTTTGACTAATCCTTTATACATAAAAATATCTAGTTGCTCATGCAGTCTCTCCAAGGGCGCATGCATAGAGCAAAGTTGTCACAGATTAGATCTGCAACGATCTAAAGCATTTTTGCACAAATTGAGGTTCTAAAGCTTTGTCAGATTTCACAAATGCAGCCTACATGCAGTCTAGTCATACCAGTCATTTGTTTGAAAAGACAATATTTAGAATATGAAAAGATCATTCACCATTCAAAAAATACATTATTCCTGAGGACAGTGTGTGCCTTATACGTTAGGAAAATAACGTGCAGTCAATGAAAACAGTATACTAAATGAAGTCTAGCAAAAAGGTTTCTCAGCTTAAGCAAATGGCTAGATAGTGGCAAGACTTTTACACACTGCTGACATCCTCCAAAAGTAAAGGACACACAGAGTTTTTCTCCAAGCTTCTTGTGCTTTTCCAGTGCATAAAATGCACCATGTCAGATCTACATACTTGCCTTTAGTAGACTCCTATATACCAGTGTTGAAAATAATTAATAGCATATATATTTAAATCTCAAATACAAAAAGATTTTCTTTTTTACGTGTTTTTTTAAGTCCAATTGGAATTTGCCTAAGTATGTATTGACAGGTGCTGATATCCACAGCAGAAACAAGAAAGTACAAAATAATCAATATTTCTGATTTTTGCCTGATTTTACCCTATATCTTTATCCCTTGGGCCAGCCAAGGCATTTTGTTTTTAGAGAAAACATTAAAAAGAGCTCATCTGTGACCTTCCGAAGAACTGAAGTACGATCATTATGTGGCACAGAAACAAAAACTCTGACACAGGGTTAACGCTGTCAAACTGTGCTTGATAATCCACAGAATGAAACAGAGAGACAATCCATCAAATCAAATGCTGTGATTCTGTAAGCACCGAGGAGAGTGCACTCATTTTTTTCTGATAATGACTCCTGAGGAATTTAACACATAACCCAGAATATGAATAAACAAAACAGCCTTTCCAAAACATGGGAAACTGAGCCCTTTATCACAGAATGAGTGAGTAATATATCTGATTTTACCAGATCTTCAAATTTCTTTCCTCCTGTTATGCAATACTGGAGGTACTCCTATAGTTGCCTTGTCTGGTCACAGAGAGCAGGAATTAACCAAGAAATCTCATTAATATGGTGAAACAATTAAAAGTCTGATGCTAGGTCCTCTGGATACAATAGATTCTATTTACCCACTCTGATGGGTCTTGACTCTTGAAATTAATTTTATTAGAATAAAATAAAATTATTGTGCTAATAGATGCAGGTGAATATTGGAATCACACCTTTTAGTTCAATAGGGTATTGTAAATAGTAAAAATTCAGGTCTTTTAATATCTGTCAGCAGTGATTTTGCTGCAGCTTTATCCCTAAAAATAATGTTAAAATTTGCAGCCTTTATAGTTACTGTGCTTTGTGACCCTTTGTTTTTTTAAAATTTTCTCATCCAATACAGAGAAACATTATTTAAAATCGTACAAGAGAAATATAAGATTGTAACTCTGGGTCTCCACACCCTTCTCTGCAAGGCATCCCTGCAAACTTGTTTAAACTGTTTAAGTGCTTTTCCCCTATTATGAAATGTTAGTAATAGACAATTTCATCACCAAAATTTGACTATAACCACAAACAACACCACAGTATGCTGTTTGCACATAAAAACTGAAATTTGATTCTTACATGAACATCTACTTTTTATAGTGATTTTATCCAAAAAGCCCCCCCAAACTGTAAGAAGGCATAGTAATAATAATAATAATAATAATAGTAATAATAATAGTAATAATAATAATAATAAAAGTAACCACTGTATGTGTATGCATTTATGTACAATCTGTATCTATATTTGCCTGTATCTATCTCCCATGTTTTGACATATTTAGGCCAATAAAAGAAGTGTATGTTACTGGAACATTTACTATTACAGTAAGAAGAGCATTGTTATAAACTGTTTCTCCTTCCCTGAACAAGCAAGTCACGATGTTATACTGTACATCTGATATATATCTGCAGAAGCTTGCATACTATAAAAAAGTTAATTGTATTTTGAAGACTAAGTCATTTGCACAGCATGGGAATATTTCAAGTTAGCATTTTGTGAAGTCATGGAATCATTGCCCAGACAGGCCAAAAGGAACAGTAACACAGACACCTGCATGCTACATCAGAGCAGGAAAATGACAGTTCTTTCATCCTGGAAGCGTGTGGAGGTGGCCTTTCCACACACACAGGTGGAAAGACAACTCAACAGCTGTGTCATTTTCAAACAGAGCTGCAACGTGGGCAATGTGATGCATTCTGCTAGTGTTGCTGTTTTCTTTTTGAATTTGGAATTTTTGGTTTTCAACTAGAAGGATAAATTAATGACACTGATGTGCAAATCTTAAACTGCATAGTATATATATTAAGCAGCCACAGACCCCTTTTTTTAGGGTAGGACCACATCCACAATCTCAGCAAGAGACTAGGACAAACCTGACAAAACAGTAAGCCTGAAAGATCAAGTTATGGCCACAAAGGCAACAATTGCTCTTTTCTTTAGAGGCATTACAGATGGAACTGAGCAATCAGAAGCTGTAGAAGTAGTGGATATCATATAAGTTGGTTTTAGTCATGCCCTTACTCTTTAAGTTCACAGGTAATTTTTTTGTTTTCATTGCGCTGGTAATTCACAATTTCATTATGCTGAAGGTTCATGCTGTACCTTCACGAACAGCACGAACATTCCTGGTCTTTTTTCAAACCAGTGTCCAAGTTTTTACGCTGACTGCACGTTCCTGAGTGCCAGTTCTCCTCGGGAGCTCACCACAGACCAGTTACAGGTAAGGCTTTTCATTGCCATCATTGGAAACATCTGTTTGCCAGTGCCCACCAAAGTCTGCAACTGCACTGCCCAGCAAGAACATATATACACCACGAGAGGATCTCACATGCCGATGCCCGACTCTGACTTCATTTTGTAACTGCACTCTTCCATTTCAAACAGTGTTTTTGTTGCAGCACAGTAGTGACTAAGGCCATTCATGGTGATACTGTTTCCCGTTCTTTTTCCTTTCTCTTTGCAAATGTTCCAGTTCAGCCTCATACATCATTTCCTGGACTAAGTATTTCTCTCTCCTCATTCTGTCGCACAAGTCTTTGGGCATGTCTGGAATCAGGTAGGCAATGAAGGACTTTATTCCAAAAACAAGGTGCTGAAAAGAAGAACAAAAAATAATTGCTTAAAAAAAATGGATAATTATTCATTTATAGGTCCATGTTTTTAGAGCCCAAAGAGTCTGTAATAAAACTGGACCTGAGGTTCAATTCATGATTGAAAGGCAACTGCTTTGTTTTTTTTAAATAAAAACACACACTGATATGGGAATAAATGAGTGGTCTAACACAAATGGGGAAATGCTGAAGTCTTCCGAAAAGTAAAATTAAGGGTACAGTTAGTGACTTAAATGAAGGTGTGACTACAGGATATGCTAGTTTGATTAACAAATGCAAGCATTAAGTACAAGCAGTCTTTGTTAAGAGCTTATAATGGAAATAGAAACCAGATTCCTGAATAGCATGCAATACATTCTTCAAACATATTTCTACTTTTACATTAGGTTAGAATCATGTATCATTTTCCTAACACATATTTTATCTTGTAATAACTGAGCCTAATGTACTCAGAACTTGCATTTCTTCTTTTTCAATAAAATGTAAAAGATTTGGTTGGGAACCAACATGACAAATAAGATGACTGTTAAGGAAATATGATTTTAGAGGGACTCTAAAATAAGTGCATGCTCTGTCAATTCTGTTTGAAGCAGCTGATAGACAACCCTTTGGGGAAGACAATTTTTTTTTCCTCTCTCTTGACCATAATGAACAAGCAAGTGATGAAAATGGCAATTTACTTACAGAACTACTGTTAAGAATAAACTCAGACTTTAGAGAGGAAGAAAGGGATTGTTCCTATCCACAACTAACCTCAAATACTATGATGAAGGCCAGCCGTGCTGCCAGGACATGCCAAAACTGCAAAGTGAATTCATATGGAGTTGAACTCCATGGTGGGGCTCTGTAGTCTCTATACCTGCAAAGCAAAGAGAAACCAAATAAGTCAGCCTGTGCTGAAAAACCTGAACATGGTCAAGTTCATCCCAGATCTGTCTAAAAGGAGAGAAACTGAAGTGAAAGCAGACTTCAAGAGGAATGAAACAGAAAAGGAGAACAGTTCACAATACAGGGTATTAAATACTGTTGTTTATGAGATGGTACTTTTTGTTTCCAAGAATCCAGAGCAAACAATTACTTTTATTGTTACAAAGCTGAAGTGTTAAGTTCGAATGTGTTGACTCTCAATTTGTTCTTGTCTTTGCTTATAAGCACTTTGTCTGTTCTCCAGACAAAGCTGGCATAAATGTAACACGATTCTAATTTAAACTAATGCTCACAGCAAAACTAAATCTGAAACCAGGAGTTCACGCATGCAACATCATATTTCTTTTTATGTTGAATTTCTTGTATTCATTTTGCATAACTGTTTGCAATCTCAACCTGGGTTAGAGCCACAAAAACTTTAATTGTGTATTTTAATGAATAGACTTCAGAATGCTTAACAAAACCGAAATGAGAACTTTTACCCTTCTTGGCAGGTGGTGAAACTTTGAAATTAAATAATTCATAGAGGCATGAAAGATAATGTTTTGCAAGAGTCCTGGAAAAACTCAGAACACAGGTTTTCAGTGTGTTAGTAGTGTGTCCTACCACACACTGTTTGCACCTGAAACTTCATGTTGAACAAACATGAACTCCAATGCTTTTTACAGGGAAAAAAGGAAACTATTATACCAGCAATTTAAGCACTAACTTTAAATTTACTGTCTGCTTTAATGTCCACTCCAGCATTACAAGAAGGGAGACATACCGACAGTATCCTGAGTATCCCATCCCAAGTTCACTCAAATCAAATACTGATAAACTGCTGTTGACATATCCTTTTAAGCATCTGAAAGGAAAAGCCAAAGGGTCAGGACCTTCTTCATAAAGCGGTTATACAGCACAGATCCTGTACATAAGCATATTCTGCTATCACACACTGTGAGCATACTATTTTATTTGAGAAATATATCTGTTACATGTTAAGTACGTAATCACAGAAATACAGCAGCAAAAGTGTGCTTCCACTGAAATATATATGTGTATATAAAGAATATCTTAATTACTTTTCTTGTCTGTACCCTTGATCTGTACAGGGACCATATTTGTATGCATAGACAAAACGTGGAATGTAATCAGAAGTAATGGCAATAACAAAGGCATTGGTGATGACAGCCAGAACTCCAATTCCTTCCAGAATTCCATACCAGATACCTAGAAACAAGAGAAATGAAAACAACCTTGTCAAGTTTTTATGACCATATTAAGTCATATAAAGTCATATTATGATAATAAAGCCATTATTAGACATACAGTTTTCCTTTCTTATTGGAAAAGAATTATGAGTCAGAAAAACTAGCCAAGATTCCGTTTTAAACCAAAAGTGAATTTAATCCTTATATTTAATTTCTAAATTCATTTGATTTTAAACCTAGAGTTCCACAAATCAGAAGCCTGAAATACTGTTTAGCCTGTTTTCAATATTCAAACTATTACGATTCCTTATTGCCAATGAAAAACAAATCTGATGAGTCCTCTTTCTGTTGCTTAACAGGAGAGTGGTCACTGAGATCTGCAGGTTATGGTATTGTCTTGACACGTGAAATATTTCAGGAGTTGAGCTGTTTTAAAGAAGAAAACACAAAGAGATGGTACTGACAGTGACAGCCAGCAGGTTCTCTCACCTATATCTGTTGCTCTTGCAGGCATGGGTCTGCGCCACTGCGTGACAAACTTGTACGCATCCAACCTGATTTCTATGATGTTGTTCAGCAGTGCCAGGAGAGGTGCCAACGGGAAGGCAGCAACAAAGATGGTGGTAAAGCCAAACTGTAAAACTAGACAGGCATTTCTACGGTTAGAAATCGGAAACGTGAAAGATCTGTCAGCATGCAACACAGGTCCTCTTTCTGAAGAAAACCCACGCCTCCCCTAAATTGGCTCACCCATCTCTAAATATTCGTCCATTAAACCATGGAGATTCATAGGCTGCAGATTCCAATCTTTTTCCCACTGAGGTAGAGAAATTTTATTCTCCATTGATTGCCCTCTTCGCTTCATTTTGCGCCGTGACCACCAATTCTGTAACAAACTTTATTAGATAAAGAGAGTATTATTGACTGTATCTGCTCAGTAATTTAAAATATTTTCTGGTATTGTTTTGAAGTAAGTAGGCCTATTTTGAATAGCACCTGAATGCTTACTTCTGTATTTTTTGGAAATATTTACAATATCATCTAAGATATAATTCAAAGAACTTAAAAAAGTTCTCAAAATTCTGCATTATGATTTTAATTATATCTTTAATGTAGCATGTTCAGCATTGTACAAATAAGCTTTTCAGAACATGGAACATGCTTGCACAGACTCTTTTTTTGTACCATTTACCTGAATGACTAAATAAAAAAAAAAGAAAAAGAAAAAAAATAATGCATAGCAAGAGTATTAAAAAAATAAATAATTTTATTTTCAGTTCTGTAAAAGACAAACTAAGTGAAGCTCAGTAAGAACTTACTAGAATACAGTGAATAGTAGAATACATCTATTTTTGAACAAACCTAAAGATCTACATGCCCTACAGAGTATCTTTTTTCTTGAAGTAGGAAAAAGGGTTTTAAAAATGTGTTGCTGAACGATGAAGCTACAAATATTTAAGACTATTTTTCAAAAAGCTGGGCAGATATCTTTTCACAAAGTAGTTATAAATATTAAGTAGATAACAGCTCACAAAATTAAGTGTTATACAAATGAAAAATATTATCCAGTACTGACACAGGGGGCAATTCAAGACTACTGTTTTGTTTCTAGATATTAAGGAAAAGAGACTGAAGACGGAAAACTTTCTTATAAGTGTTTTTATAAACTGCTACTATTTTTTCTCAAGCTAATTTAGTGTTTGGTTCTTGATCTCTCTTGTTACTGAAAGAGCAACTGTTGCCAAAGTTGCAAACAATGGTTCTGTCAAAATAAAACACTTCCTTCCATTACAGAATGCAAGCATGTTCTAGAATAATAATAATTCTAAAATAAATCCTAGACACAGCTAAGATCCTGCTAGGCTGAGAAGACAGGAAGACTGTTAGTTCAAGTAGGTTTCTCCTTTTCAAAAATCCATGTTTCACAACATACAGTACACTGCCCCTCATTTGCAGAATGATTGCATGTTGTGAGCATAACCCTTTCTGACATATTTTCATGGTTGAGATTTCAATTAAATTAAATTAATATTTGATGATCAATCTTTTCCTGTAAACATATTCTTCCAGCTTCAAGAGAACTGTAAGACTCTTACCCCCATTACTCTCTTCAGAAGCTGAACAGCTCTGTTTGTGTTATGGAAAATGAAATTATAATAAACAATTTAGACAGCTAACATACCCCAAGAAGCTTTGTCTTAGAGCAGCAGTTAATGCTTTCCTTGGGAATAAAATTACAGTATGTGAGATGCAAAAAGTGAAAAGTCTCCAAACCTAAAAATACTTCTTCCTATCATTGACTCACCCTAAAATGTGTTCACTATTTGTAAACAATTAACTTTAACATCTGAACTTACGGATAGCCTAGTTCCATGAAGTTGTTCCACATCTGTTTTAAAACCATAATAACTCCCATTTGCAAGCACAGATCTATCAAGCAGCCACTAGGATGACACTGAAATGAAGTGGAAAAAGACCAATAGCTAAAATTAAGAGAATTCTTTTATTTTTATTTGTTCAGAAGGTAAATGAAAAATATTAAATATGTTTGGTGAAAAACACTAATCTGTATCTACAGAAATATTGAAAAATATTTTTAGGAGAAATATTAACCCAGACTTCAGCTGAACAACCTTATTATTTCTTGGAGAACTAGACCATATTACCTAATTTAAAGATATGTGCACTAGATATATGACAAATGATATAGACCATTTCACTTAGATCAATACATACTTATTCACTTTGAAAGAATGGAACAATTGGCAATATTCTAAGCCCAAGGAGAGACTGAATTTCTGGTACTGGTATCTTAACTAAATGGACTGCCATATTAAAATGTTTAGTAATTACAGAACCATTTTTTCAGACCATGGACTACAAAGTTATGATGTTTTACTCTGTGGATAACAAGGTTCAATAGAAGAAAACTGTTTTTCAGAAATAAGAGATACCTTCAGCATGCTGGTGAGTTGCAATCCTAACATATTCTCAGGTTAAATTTTCAAAACAGTATCTTTTTTCTTTTAAATCATAGAATTATAGATTAGTTTGAGTTGGAAAGGACATCCTAAGATCATCTAGTCCAAACTCCTGCAATAAACATGGCCACTTTCAACTAGATGAGGTTGCTCAAAGCCCCATCCAACCTGACCTTAAGTGTTTCCAGGGATAGGATATCCACTGCCTCTCTAGGTAACCTGTTCCAGTGCTTCACCATCCTCACATTAAAAAAAATAATCTCTTCCTTATACCTAGTCTGAATCTAGCCTCTCTTAGTTTAAAACCATTACCCTTGTCCTGTCTCAACAGGTCCTACTAAAAGTTTGTCCCCATCTTTCTTATAAGCCCCTATAAGTACTGAAAGGCAGCAATAATGTCTCCTTGGAGCCTTCTCTTCTCCAGGCTGAACAACCCCAACTCTCTCAGCCTGTCTTCACAGCAGAGGTGCTCCAGTTCTCTGACTCCTTTTGTGTCCCTTGTCTGGACCCACTCCAACAGATCCGTGTCTTTTCTGTGTTGATAGAAATTTAAGAAGCTGATAAAAAAAGCTGATGGTTTTATATTTATGTCCTCCATTCAAAAATCCCACATACTCAGGAGATTCCAAACTTGTAGGACTTAGTAGTGCTTGTGAGATAAGGGACTATCCCTGTTTAATTTTCCCAAAGACAGAGGCAGAAAGAACTGTGTCTCTTGGGCAGAGTCACTCAGCAAGTAGAGAACACAGAAGAAAAAACGCATCTCCTGTTTCTTATCCTTTGCTATAAATAAGAGTTTACTATTTGCTGCACATAGACGGAATAATAAATCTTTCAAACTGGGCATTCACGTCCTTCAGCCATTTCCTTTTTACTCATGGAAATATCACAGGAACACAAAGCAGGATTGCTTACCTCTTCCAGTCTCCATCTGTTAAAGAGTTTATTGTACTTTCCCGGGCGGCCTGCAAATCTGGAAAATAAGATTTCTGTTTCTCAGTGGACATTCCAAGAACACCCTCTATCAGTACTTATTTCACAACATCCACTGGATAAACTCAGGAAATATCAAAAGATTAAATCACACGGGCTTAAATCCGGTATCTGCAGGATATGGAAGTCTCAGAATGCAAACAAGGACCATCATTTTGCAAATGACCCTAAGCTTTTATCATGTCCTGAACAAAAATACTAGCTTCAGAGGTTTTAGATGTTAGCTATTCAGATCTAATCTACTTCTAAAATGATAAGCCATTGCAATACATAGGAATTTACTGCAGCACAGGGATCTGCTTGTCCCCGTGAAGTGTACATTTGATAACAAATTGAATCAAAATTCTTGATGACCTCAGTGAAACTTATAAATGATAGAGAAAGAAACCCATGCCTGGTCCTACTAGACACAGGAGAGAGCAAGACACAAAGAAGTTTAGATATTGTATGGCAAATACACCAGTGGATGTAACAAACAGGTATCACTAACAGATTTTACAAAAAGGGTTTTCGCTTTTCTGCTTGTTTGGTTTTGTTGTTGTTTTCTTCCAACCAATCTTGAACTGAAATTCTACCGTAACACGTTATAGAAGATATTCTGAAACATTCTGTAGGTTCTGGAGGAATGGTAAGTGTGACCATAACAAAACCGAACTGAAGACGAAGGAAGGTTAGACCTGTACTGTATCTCAGGCTTTGAGCTAAAGATACACACAAAAATTGGAGCCAGAATTTCTGCTTCCTACTCTTGCCAGACAATATTTACTATTTGTAGAAATGCATCCTGGGAAATGTAAGTCATGGGGAATTAAAAGAAAATAATTAATAAAGCCTATTAGCACAGGACTAAGTACAGACCCACATTTAGGCAGTGGCTGCATTTTCAAGAGCTCTGAATTCTCATTTTGTAGGAAAGTCACATATGCAGACCCACTTAAAAAGTAAAATTTTTACTCTCTAGTTTCATGGATAAACATTTCAAGGGCCCAACCCGCACATACAATTAAAAACATTAATTTAGTGTTACTAATTATCCCCAGAAACCAATTAGCACCTAAATCTTACAGTTCAAACTGTCACTGTATTTTCTTCAAACCCATAAAATTAATAAGGATTTTGAGTTCTGTGTAAGTTTTCCTGTAAGTGCAGTGAGCAAAGGTAACTTACCTGCCAAGAAAAAAGGCAATGTAGAAGATAGAGCTGTTCAAGTTGACGAACTGGAAGAGGAACATTTTCAAGGCAAAGCTGTTTTCCCATTCAGATTCTGTTCTAGGGTGCTCTTCAGAAAGACACAATATACATTATATAAACAAAAATGAAACTGAGTTATGTGTAACTCTGCTCACACAGAAATCAACACTAACAAAACAAGCAATGGTTTCAAGCCATGTTGCCCCATTATTTTTTCTCCCTTAAAGTATTCAGTCTACAGATCACAAAACCATTGCCCCAGCTCAGACTATGCCATTTCTATGTGGAAACAGGAGATGCAGTACAGGATAGAATCAGTACAGAATAGATCACAATTCTGTGGGAAGACATCTGTTCCATTTCCATGAAAAAAATCTGAATTCAGTGTGAATCTTTAAAGGTATCTGGATTCAAAGAAAAAAACAACGAAAACCAAAACCAAACAAAGACCAAAAAAAACCCCAAAACAAAACAAAAAACCCAGTGCAAACTACCACTGACAAAAGACCAAAAATCAAAAGAAAGGACGGAGGTTCTTTTTTGGATTCTTTTGGAAAGAAATGTAGAAATGCTTGTAGGACTATAAGTGTTGTGTGTGGGTCTGCACTGCCTTGGATATTTTTTCCTTAAGGTTTGGAGAGCATTATTTATGTCTGAATTAGAACTTGGTGATAGTGATTCAAAATTAATTTTTACAAAATCCATCTTTGATGGATGTATCAAACTTGGAATACACTACACTTAAACTACATTAAAGCACATACATGAGTCTTAAGTCTACACTGCCTGGATTTGTCAATTAAAATTTGTACTACTTAATTACTCTGATCTAATGATGACTAAATTTGGACACAAACATACAGGATATTAGCTTTACATATGGACACTTGTTCCCAGAAGTTAAAGTGTCCTTCTCTGATATAAAACACCTCAGAAAGAGTAATGAATTACCTAGATCGAACACCTAATGCTCCATCACGTTTAATTCAAGAAACTCTTTTTTTTTTTTAATTCTTCCATATATTTTGGGAAAAAACAGCTTGTGCACTTAAACAATTATTTTCTTTCCTATTCCCTGGTCTGTAACAACATAATATATTCTAAAAGGAATAGAAATAAGTTTGATCTGAGAAAGTACTTTAAAATATTTTACTACTTTGAGTAAGTTGACTATACATTCTGAATCTTTGTAATCTGTTCAACTGCCTGTTACCTGAAGCACTATAAAGTTTCGAGCACCTTGTTTAATACTTTAACCAGAAGAGGGAGCTGTTGAATTTAAGCAGCCAGCTTGTGTTTAACCAAGACAAGATAACTTGCATATTTTGACATGGGCTAAAAGTATGTAAAAAAACCAAACGGTAACACATTGAAACAGTCGGAGACCATAAATTCTCTCTTTGCTTTCTTGTTTCCTATTAGCTAGAAAGCTTTTTCTCTGCAACTGAATCATGACTAGAGGCTTCAGTATAAAATTTTAATGTGACAGAATTAGAGCCACTTTAAAATTCTTGACTTAACATTTTCATCTTGGACAACATAATTTTATCTTAACCCTTTTTTTCCATATGGAAGTTCGAATTAAAAATTAGTAAAAAATAAACAAGGATTTGGAGAAAATGGAAAAAAACTTTCAGCATTCCAAGAAAGAATGTGTTTTGACTTTTGCTCCAAAGTAAGATGACACTTTTTCAATGTATATGTATATGAATATGTAATATGAAGCATTAAAAGAAGTAGAAGAATAAGTTCCTTACTTTTCTATTATTATTTCCTCAGTGAAATAATAATTTCTTTTCTTTCTTTGATATTTCTCACTTGCTTAGGGAAATGCTGGAAACGTGCCATGCAGAGATGAAGTTTTCAAAACCCTACTTCATGGGACTATAAAGGTATATGCCACAGTCAGCAAGAACCATATCATCAGTGAAAACCTACATACCTAAGTCTGTCAGGAGATAGGCAACCTTCTCATACACCTAAAACAGAAATAAGAGATGCAGTTTTCCTTTGCATGAATGTGCATACTGGCTGAGGATATCAGCTTTCTACTGAAAACTTCCTTATTTCTCAATATATTGACTATCCCCAGTCTTTATTTTAAATGACACAGCCCAAGGCAGTTACCAACTCTGAAAAATACTTCCTTGAGTATTTACTATAAATAGCAAGTTATTTTTGGTAGCTTTGCTTGGTCACTTGAATGTACTTTTTATGACTCAGAGTGATCATATATAATAACAGAAACAAATACACAACTCTGACTGGAAGAATCATTTCTTACTGACACGAGTGCACAATCTCCTTAAGAGATTTAAAAGCCATTGTTTGCTGTGTTGTTATTCCTTTTTACCTAATCATGCTTGCATGGGGACAGAAAGATAATAAATAATATTGCAGCTGGAAGAATAGAGTTTCTATCCATGTACATAGTGCTACAATGGCAAATGGTTAAACTGCTGTCACAGGACAGAAAAAACTTACACCAAAATCATATATCAAAGTAATTCTAGGAATGTGCAACACTGATACCACAGCTGCATTTTAAATGAAAGGGAAAAATTGAAAGTCGTCCATTAAAAACAACTTAAAAAATAAATTCTCAGCCAAAGAAATAATGTAGTTCCATTTAGACATGTCCTGTAAAAGGTAATAAAAATTCCCCCAAAAATGCATATGTAGAAAGCGGGGAGTTTGTACCCCTGTGACTTGGTGACATAAGCAAAGATGTGCATTGACAAAATAAAGAGGAATCAGAGAAGAACATTAACAACCTCCTGAAATACCAGCTTCAGACACTGCCCCATGCATAAGCACAAACATGTATATACAAGTGATATATGCTAAACTCAGTAAGCTTTGTAAAAATTACTCTTTTAAATTAATCCCTCCTTTAAAAGAGCAGAAGACTTACAACATTGAGTGACATGATGATCATAAAATTGATACAGACTCCAGTGCCAGACGTTGCAAACTGCCAATACTTCTTGATGAAATACCACTTGAAAGAAGCAAACTGCTCCATGGCCACCAGTCGATACACCACCACTGCAAACACTGCAGTGAGGACCAGCGAGATCTGCAAGGGGGTATTTACAAGCAGAAATATTAGACCAAAAGGTAGATACGATATCTAAAATAATATCCGGTGAAATAAGAAATCAACAAGTGTTTTAAGGATTCCCATTTTTTTTGGAGAGCAGAATTTGACAGAACAAAAATACTATATGAGTTAAAAAAAATTTTTACTGTTCTTTTACAATATAAATACATTCCATCTTTTGAAAGAATGAGATCCCTAAACAAGCAGTAAGACTGAGACAATCAGTTTTGCCTACATAATCTTAATGAATGCACTCATGAGGAGTTACTATTTACATCAGAGTAAAATGAATTACAGTACAAGAATTCTAATATTATTAAACATCACCATGAAGAATATTCCTGAGACAGACACCATCAGTCGACTGAGCTTATCAGGGAAAGGTTGAAAAGGTTCAGGTTTTCCTGTAATGGGATTTACTCTTTCCACTTGGGAATATTTAGCTTCAAACTGGGGACGCAGCTCTTCCTGGAATGACAGGATGGATTCCATTTGTTGTATTACTTATTTCTCTCAAGAATCAGACACATATGTGCTATAAAGTAGAAAATTATACTGACATAAATTATTTTTTATAATGCTTCAACTAAAATAACAAAAAAATGTGTTCTTTTGAAAACCCTTGGAAATAGTGCCAGAGAGCAGCAAAGAACAGAGACCACAAGAGCCTTCCCCACTATGTGAGGGTATTAAAAAGAAGGCATTACTGACTTAGACACTAGATCATCTGCAGAAATTGATATGAAACCATTTATTAAAAGCCACCAGCTTGTATATACCCATCTATGGAAAGCTATAAAACAAGTAAAGTCTATCAACTGCAATTAAATCATTAATATAGTTAAATTACAGCTATGTTAACTAATGATTTATGAAATAATAAAATCATTTTATTACTGGTGATGCTGATAGCAGAATGTTCAAAGGATAATCTATGCCTCTCAGAAGGATATAAAATCTAGTTTCTGTCCCTTTGCTTGTCTTGATCCCATTTTTAGGCAGGATCATGAATTTCTACTACAAGAAACCACAGAACTGAAAGGCATCTGTGCTGACATCAGTAGTAGCTCCTGTCCTCTGTATGGAAAGTATTTCCACTCAGTTTTTCAAAGGATGCTTTTGATAAATGTGGAACTGTATTTGGAATAATAATGCCAGTTGCAGAAGGCAAAGTATCCTTGTGTAGTCTCAAATATACCTGTTTATTCTGCAACTAGTGTTAGAAATATAATCTGAATGACAAACTCAGATGAAAACACACAATATGGATTCATATTTACACTTAGATCATGCTTTACATGTTTACTTCTGTTTCTTACCTCTTCATCTTCCCAGTCTATGAGGTCCCAGTCATAGGTTAATACAGCTCTCCGTCTTTTCCAAAACTCTAGAAAGACTGTTGCTGTGGAAAACAACTGCAGGTTAATTATAGCAAAAAACAAACAACAACAAAAAAGGGTCATGCAGATCTCACGAAAATCAGCAATGTAAGTGATAACTGTCATTAGCCATTTTCTGACAGTTTTCCCCATAGAATCTGAAAATTGTAAGTAACTTCAGGATAATCACTGTTAAAATTGAAACACTATTTTCAATGTTAAAGAATCATTTTTTTTTGTTGTCTGCTATATCTGTACAGAGATGGGTACCTGGCAATATAAAACAGTGCCATCCCCTTTAATTTTGCTTTTAATTTTACTCAAAATATAAAATCTTTCCTTGAAGAAACGAGGATACACATACACAACAGTAACAATAAAGAGCTAAAGTATGATCTCATTTTATTCAGTTCTAATGAAGACAACCTCACTGCTTTCCCAGCTATATCAGTTTTATCCTGCAGCAGTTTTACTATTAAAATAATTCTTTAAACAATTATTTCTAATCTAGGTGTGAGACCATAATCAGATTCTCCCAGTTTTATTTAGCTGGACTCCTCTACAGCAGCAAAACTATGCAATCAAAACAGTCCTACAGGTTTTGTACCACACCTCCTATTGAGAAATACTCTTCAGAATTGAAACTAGCACTTAGAAAAGTATCACCTATAGCTGAAGGATAGCTTAGTCTCCACTCACGCTCCTGGAGTACTCTGAACCACTTTGCCTCCATATGGTCACAGCTCTGAATCTGATCACACCTGGAGGTTTTTCCCCTCCGGGAACAGCGGGCCAGCACTCAGCACCAGCATTCTGCTACCACACTGCAGGTGTACAACACTTAGCCAAGAACTGAGTCACAAACATCTTCCATTAGGTCTTATGTCACTCAGGGAACCAGTTTTTACTTTTCCTAACAGATGAATTAAACTGCTAACAAACTAAAGAGAGAGCGAGCACACCCTCCCCAAGGCCAAAGCTGAGGTCCAGGACAGTGCTAGAGGGGTATGACTTTTGTACCACTGCAACAGATGTACTTCAACAGAATTTCAGACTATGCATTTAAGGTATTGATATCTGCAAATATTATACATCCATTCAAATAACCTTTCTTCTTAAAAGTTCTCAGAAAGGCACACTATAACGTGTGCACGCTGGTGTGAAGAATACTGTTGACCCCAGTATATCACTTGTGATTTGGTTAATGCTGTGTAAGATTTGGACACAAATTCATGGTGCTTGTTTTCAGATCTCATGGTCAATCTGTTACATGCCTGTCCACCCAGGCACAGCAATAAATGTGAGTTGGAAGCTTGCTGATACACTCTGCAGAGAATGTTAGATTCCAAAGAATTAAACCAAAAACCAGAAAACCAAAACAACAGTATCAGACTCTGTCCTCCCTCCTCTCATAGACCACTCCATCTCATGCCACATAAACAATTTACTTCCCCTAAAAGGGATATTAGAAAGGGTAGAACTTCATCCATCTAACAGAGTAACTTCCACTTGTCCCTGCAGTACTTTCAAGAAAACACCACCAGTTGCTTCCATATAAACACTTCCTGTAGATACCACATCCTCGATGCTTATCTCAAGGATAAGTTATGAAACAGTACTTGCACTTGATTCCTTAAAAATTTAAAGTGGAAACAGATGACAATGTCCTGGCATTCCACTCAAACGGTCACACAATACTGAAACATTTTGCAGTCTCTCTTCACCACATACCAGCCTAGAATAAACATACATAAAGGATTAAAGAATGAAAAAAGTCGCAGGTTGACTGGGTGAGCATATGAAGTTCTATATTACATACCTGACTTTTTCATTCCTACCTTAATACAGTATTTTTTACATAAAACCTAAAGGGAGGAGTAACAGTTGTAACCTTCAGCTCCTGAGCTGGTTATGTAAAAATTAATGATGCCTGATAAATTCAGAAAATTTGGATTTACATTGTTCTTTTAAAAGATTTCAACTACAAACATATTTGGAGACAGGAACAGATCCATTTCTAGCAGCATGCTTTTCTTAACAGAACTCATACTGCTGCTTTATTTTGTAGAAGACAGCCCTTTGTCAGTTCTCATCTCACCTAGTGCAGGAAACTGTGATAATGTTGCATAGTACACAGAGTTTCTACAGCTTACAGAAAGCAGTCACTCCTGTGAAATACCAGCTCAAAGACTCTGAAATTATTAAGCAATATGCACTGTCTGACCACTTTACCACAAGCACTGCCGTTTCTGTGGACTCTGCAATGACAGAGCAGGGTCACGACAGCACAGAGTTGGTGGGGCTGGTTCCCGGAGGCTGGGGAAGGGCTGCCCCACCCGGCCTCGCCCCACGGGCACAGCGTGTTCCTGACCGCTGTCACACGGCTGCCCCTCCTGGACCTGCACTCCCCCTCCCCGCCAGAATAACTGTGCCCTGGGCCACAGCAGTATTTCAACAGCTTCTTCCACGTTTTGCAGCACTCAAAGGTAAGTCTGAGGGGTTTTTTAATGCTTATTAGAGGATGCGATTAATGATCACAGTATTCATTTATATCATGTTCAGGTAGGTGACTGGTGTCGTTGTAGTCAAATTCTACTTAAAAGCGTAGTTCTGAGAAAATAATTGAAAGTAAAAACCATTTTGTGATTCAAACACTAAAGCAGAGAAGCAGCAATCATAAGCAATGACACTATTTCCCTCAAACTCACACTTTTCTTTTCTGGTTATTTATGCTCCTTATCAAGGAAGTGTAGGATTTCTCTCAAAGTAAGTTCAGAGCCCATTTGAAATGCTAGGGAGGGTTGATGGTGGTGGTGAAGTATTCCCTGTATGCCACTTTATAGCAAACTTGTGGTAGAAACTACATTGCTCTGTTGAGTTTAGTTCTACCGAAAATGAACAGAAAACATGCACTTGGGAAGTTTGGCCAGTGCACTTAATACTTGTCAAGTTGCTAGACAGTAACTGAGGGTATAAATTGAATTAATTATAGACTACAATTCATATTTACATTCCTCTTCATAGTTCACTAAAAACTTAAAACATTATTTTCTCGGAACAAAAAATACATTTAAGCTTAACAATGTAACATTAATTGCTCATTAAATTTGGAAGTATCTAATTCTTGGAGAGCAATCTGAATTTTAGAGCAAAGAGCCACATGAGCAAACATCCAGTATGTTTCTGGGATCATCATTTGCAATTATTTCTGTCTGAATTCTAGAAGATAAATTCTCTACCTATCATTTTATACGTTCCATCTATTTTTGGTTCACTGATGTAAAGGTAAAAAAGGTCCACTTTATGAGGCTTTTTTAAAGTGTGAAAATTGTGCAAATATGAACATGTTACCTCAGATCAAAAGAGTGCCATTAACAATTTGTTAATCACATCACCACTCACTCCATAAATTCAATTACTTTCTAATAACTAATGTAAGGTGGGGAAATGGTGAAAGGTTCAATTTAATGACATGCAAAAGAATGCAATTTGAATTTATAGTTCTGAAGACTCTATTATCTATCCATGAAAAGTTGAAATTATTATTTTCTTGACAATACAAGAGGTTTTGCAGACATTACACCTATCACTGGTAAGTGCTGGGTTGTAGTCAGGAAATATATGTTGCAATTACTTTATCATGCCGAAAATCTATTTTTGCACACTAAGGTTCACACTGGAGGGCCATTTTTATGGGATATTGCATTCATATCCTGGTGAATTCCTCAAACAAGGACCACTACACCTCTTCATAAAGCCTCACACTGAATGAGAAATTTTAACCTTCCCCCTTCCAGAACTGACTTTTATTCTTACTCAGCTGTCACAGGCCTTGGATGCAATTTGACTCCAGCAGCACAGACACAAATGCAGAGTGCAAAATCCACTAAGAAACATGATGGTGACCATCCTGCATAAAAAATCCTCCTTTTTCATGCTAAAAAAACAAAGGTAGAGCTAATCTAGGTAACTGAACTGCAGCTTAATCCCATACTGATGGCAGTTCCACTCACTTCAGGCTACGCCTGTCGCACTGATTGCCACTGAGCTGGTACCTGAGGAATGTGAATACCAGTGAACCAAAACCCACAATCGTTTTTTTTCCAATTAATAATCTGTTCATTGCTTCCTTAAACACTTACTTGACCTGCTAATGTAAGGTTTGGGCTCTTCTGCAAGTTTGGCTAATCTATTGCTCTGCTGTTTTACTGCAAGAGCACTGTTTGCATATTAATCCCTAAAGGCAATGAGTGTCTTTGAAGAACTTCAGTGTTTTTCTAAATTGTGTGAACATTGATATTACACCAGAAAAAAGAAGAATTAAGTATTACACACAAAAGAAAACAGTTCAACGCAGCCTGAGATTTACAACTTTCAAAGTAAGGAGGTTTCTTCTCTATGGTCTCCCGTAAACATTGCACAAGTAAGACAATCACAAAAATGACACAGAATTTGTTCGGCAAGGATACTGACTCCTTTAGGAATTAAAATTACAGTCAAATTGAATTAAGTATAATTTTGCTCAGTAGTTTAGTTGAAGTGCATGGATAATAAGGAATTTGACCAAACACAATTTGTTTACTTAATATGACTAATATGATAATTAATACAAGGAAGGAAAGAACATGTCACTGAATTAAAACAATAATACTGTTAAAATGAAAGCATGTGTTTGAAAACCTTTGGTTTTTTCTTCAGGTTTGTTTGGGTTTTTTGGCAGTTATTACTGCTAACAAATCAAAATCTAAGATTCAGACAGCACAGCATTTCATAGCCATCTGAAGGCCTACTGTTCTTACTGTAAATACAACTGTAGCTGATAATTTAACTTCAAAAGGGTTTTCCTTGGCTTGCTTGTTTGGGAACAATGTGGTCATCCTGAATTCCACTGATATTCAAGCAGAAGTTATCTTTTTTATTTTTGTTGAGAAAGTTACAAATGTTTTCCAAGAGCTGATCTTAACTTGGAAAATAAGCAGTGTGGAGAAATGGAATACACATTAAAAAGTAGATTAAATGGCAT